CGTGCTCAACGAGGTGGCTCTCGTGTACCCGCAATGCGGACGATACCTGTAGTGCTCGTCCCTGGTGATAGCTACAGATGACGAAGTGCTCTTTGAACAATGGGTGCAACGGTACCGCAAACTTTCCTCACTGTATAGCTTACAGTTGAGCCACAAGAAAGTGAACGTTCGTGTGGAGCGACACCTCCGATTTGAGTTTGCCAAACTCAAGGCACTCCGTCGACATCCTTCGGGTTGTCTCCTTTCTACGTATGGGTTAACCCCTAATACTCCCTCGAGCTCTAAGTCTTCGACCGCAAGAGCTCAGCGCCACTGCTTGAGCTCAGCTCATGGCCCTTCTACTTCCCTGGCTATTGCTGGGAAGCGCGGGGTGTCTGATGGCGCGGGACGTCCTGATCTTTCCGATCAAAAGCGTCCACGGCGACTGGACAATCTTGCCGAAGTGAAGCCTCAGACTCTCACGAGTTTGTCGGGATATCCCCGCCACTTTACCAAATATTGGGTTTGGTCCTGGTGATGACGTCGTCCCACAAGACGTTTCACGTGATAGTGAACGTCACCTTTCTCATCGAAAAAAGTCGCTGGTGGGCAGTGACGACCGGGCAGACCGCCGTCCAATGTTTCGACAGCAGTGGCTGCCAGTAGCCATTGTATCGGATCCAGATCTTTGCCTTACAAGAAAGATTTTGCAAAACAATGTAAGGCACTTAGCAACATATCAGACATGTCAGCCAAACATAGTTGTCCAGACAACCTTGCTACAGTGGACCGCTCTTGGTCGTAGCAAAGAAGGGATTAAGTTTCTCATGAGTGTACCAAAGAGTTACAAATACATCCAGTATTCGATGTGGACTTATCGAAGCCATATCACGATCCCGCTCTTACGAGCCAGTCGGACGTAAAAAGCTCTGAAGCAGACGGGTCAAAGCCTTCACCAACCCCTTTAGCAGGGCTGCCCTGTGCTCCGAAGCAGAGCACAGTTTTGAGCCGCTAAGGGTAGGCAATCCAACGGCAAAGCTTAGTGAGCAAATCTGAGATCTGGCTCCTCAAAGTCTCGGATACACGCCGTGACTCTCGATGAGATTCGATCTGCCACCACAACCAAGAGAGATCGCTCAGGAGGCTGACTTCCAACGGCACTACTGGATGGGCTTGAGGTGACCCACAGTCACATGGGGCGTGGTGGGGACACCAGGGCTTCATCATCTTCATAAATATAAACTCTTCGGTACTTATAAATACTCACACTTCCAACGTACAGTTGTGTGGTAGGGTGCAAGTGAAAAGAGGTTACAGTCCTTAACCCGTTCCAAACAACTTCGTACTTTTTTGCTTTTATCCAGTTTTGATAGTTACATATATATCCAGCACTTAATTCAACTAAAATTTTGAGGTAATTGATTTGTCTTACTACGTTCCATGAAAAGTGCTCTGATAGCATCCTTGTTAGTACCAGTAATTAGATACCTCTGAGTTTGAATAATTCCACAAAAGAGTATTGTGTATCTCGTTCAATCATATCAAAGTGTATTCTGTACTAACGCAATATTTTAGTACATGTACCCATCGCCTTTGGCCGCTTATCGGTTCTCAACTTCTGCACTTTAACCGAACGCATGTCGAATTCTACATTCTGATGCGAGAATCACTTCTAACTCTTGGGAAAAGCAAATATACGAGTATATGGCATACAGAAGATAAAACAGAGATTCAAAACAGGAGATGATTTAGATCTGATCCGATGTACCGACATTATCCATTACCTGATTGATATTGGTATTCTGATATAAAATTAGAGTTTACCAGCGGATGCTAACAGAAACATCTACCAATATATGCGTAACTCAAATAGTATGACTACGCAATTGGCGAATTTACATGTCTAAAAAAATGAATAGATTACAAAGCAGAGCAGCCATACTGCGGCAAACTACTTTTATAGCTTTGAGTTGTAAGACGATTGTCACAAATTTCGTTTTTTGTTTGTCGTACTGGCCGTTTGCAGCAAAAGAAAAAGGCTGTCAGATCTGTGCTTCATCCCGAATCTATTAAAAGACGGTGAAAATGCTTATGAATAGCTCAGTACAAATGTTTACACCAGTTTGTAGTACAGTACACCATACTGCCAGTTCTAAAAATGTGCATTGTCCAATGCAGACGAGACGTGTTGTGGCGATGAAATTTGTGCTATTGTTGGTGAATTCATAAAAAAGAAGTTTCTGGCATCCGGGCTGTTTTTAAGTCTGAAGGTCCACCACTTCATTGACTCTGCTGTATAGCGAATAACTGCTTATAGTACCTATTTAGAGCAAGGATCTTAATCACTGACTCTGGTTCGAAATTTTGATCTCGCTCTCAGTTCTAACTTCTACTTAAATATCACACAAGTTGTTTCTTTCCAAGCCCCAAATTCTCGATGCAGCAGCGCCAGCCCCACCGGTATTTTTTCAACAGTTATTTGACTTTACCTTGATGTGTCTTACAATTGTCACTACCATTTCATCACACTCTAGAACAAGGCGTCGCGAGGGCGATCTCGAGTCAGGATCCGACGTTGGCATGCCGCAAATACCGCACATACCGCCTGATCACACAACTGAGCACGCATCTGATGGAATGTTGGGGCTTCTCGCGAGACATGCAGAGAAGCAATCACCACTCCATCATCAGCACAAGCTGCACCGAAAGCGACAGTATTTGTCGCAAATGCCAAGGCCTACAGTGATCCCCGAGGCTGGAGCAAGTGCCTGGCACCCGTCCACAAGGCAATTAGAAATTGACCAAGATGCATCAAATTTATTCAGTACTTGTAATGCTGAATCTTCTCAGGATGACAAAGTCTCGCTTGCATCACCGCTAGTCGCGTTTCTCGGCCGGCCGTCCAAGGTTGAGTCTTCTCGCTTAAATGATAATATGATGTCACCGCGCTCCGTTTGGGAAGAGAGTCCTCTTAAAGAGCATCTGGATCCTACAGCAAGCCCAAGGCACACAGACACTTCAAATAATCAACTCGTCCCGATACCACACGCGACGTCTCCGTGGCGTATACAACACCTTCTCTCACCGGATCCGGCCGTGTATGTTCAGCCAAACACTTCTCCTAAACTTTGCATACCTCAATCGCCACCGCGTCATTCTGACATTGCATTCAAAAATGCTAAACGTCCCCGTCTCGCTCGTCGTGTGTCATCGCAGTGGCGCCAAGATTTGTCACAACGGGATCGCGCCAAAACGCGCGAGCGCATTATGCGCAGCTTACATATGCACTGTCAAGGTGATTATGAGCAGCTCGTGTTGATACTTTCGTCCATGGATGAAGAATTACTGCATATAAAAACGACTTCAAATGCTTTATATCAGCAACAGGCTTGTGGACTCAGCGACCTCGTCAAGAACGCAAAGCTTGAACGCTGACTTTATGGTGATGATTGTGTTGGTGTGTAAACGTGACGGTCGCTCTGTGTTATACAATATGAGAGTCAGAGACAATCCATGGTCTAGAGGAAATGCCATAAGATGAAACAGTACAAGGACAACATGCCGCGAACTAGTCAACTATGGTAAACTTTGTGGGTATGAATAAGAAGTGATTAAAGGTTAAATTAAAGAAAATAATTTCTAGTTTTTGTTGCCGACAAACGCGACTTTTAAGGATCAGTATATAAGACTAAATAGAACCTTCGAGTATGGAGTTGCAAGACATTCGAAGTATGGGAGATGCATTGACTCGAGCGAGGGAGCTTTGTCTGGAAGCGCAGTATGAAAAGGGATTGGAACTGTTCCGAACGACTCAGAAATCGCTAAGCCACTTTATCCGCGGTATGACAAAAATGTCTGAGCGTCAGCCGTGGCTGCAGGCAGGTGGCAAATATTCTTATCGTCATACTTTGCTTAATTGTTGTCGCATGTAGATGCAGATTGAACTCGAAAATGAATTGAACCTCATCACGGACTATTTTGAGCTCATTCAGGCCTTTAAATTTCCACCCGGCGCATCGAAAGCGCGAATCCATCCGAAAACACCTCGGCAGAAAGTTCTGGCCTCCCCTCATTGGGAAATTTGTGCGCCTCCTGACCCGCGACGCCCAGATTCTAGCGTAAAGCTGGTAGTTAAGTCATGTTATGCCCTATATTGACTTGTACATTTGCTTAGGTCGACAGCGTCAGAGATCCTGATGTCTGGGCTCCTCCGACCCCAGAAAAGATCCCAAATCATTTTCGGGGTCCCCCTGGTGGTCGTGCCCCGCTGTCGTGGGCCAACGATAATGATGACAACAGCAACAATCTCAATCATCGCTTTCACAAGTACGTTGCCTTTGCATTTTTCAAGGACCAAACGCTGACAATTATCAAAAGTCGAGGTGTTCGTAAACCAAGTGGGGGAAGCAGAGCTGCCGGACCGTCTGCAAGACGTACACCTGGAGATGACCGACGACGCCAAGGACCTCGTCGAGGGGCAAAAACCCCACCAGACTCTTCTCCAGCCAGGCAAAAAAACAAGGATGGTGGACTCAAGGCCGCTCGAAAAGAGAATGATCGGGTACGGCAACGTGCTGGAGATGGCAGTGAGAAGCCGAAGTATTCGGAAAAAGCTAAAGAAGAAGGATGGGCGGATTTAGATCTTATTGAAATGATCGAACGCGATATAGTGGACATGGCCGCATCGGTCACATTTGAGCAGATTGCAGGACTTGAGCACACAAAAGAGCTTCTTCAGGAATCCGTAATGTTGCCTCAGATTGCTCCACATCTTTTCAAGGATGGTCTACTTAAACCATGCAACGGCGTCCTTATGTTCGGTCCACCCGGAACAGGCAAAACTCTTCTTGCGAAAGCTGTAGCAAATGTGTGCAAATCCACATTTTTCAATGTATCAGCATCAACACTTGCTTCGAAATATCGTGGCGAGTCAGAGCGCATGGTGCGAATTCTTTTTGACATGGCAAGGTACTATTCGCCATCAATTATCTTCATGGATGAAATCGATGCTATTGCTGGCGTACGCGGTGGTGCACAGGAGCATGAGTCTAGCAGACGGTAAGACGTAAAAAGTCATATGCATCTACATGGCACTAACAATGGTTCCTGTTTCAGTGTGAAAACTGAATTGTTAGTGCAAATCAACGGTGTAGCTTCTGGAGATCCTGCGGACCCTGGAAATCGCGTGATGGTTCTTGCCGCGACAAATTTACCGTGGGAGCTGGATGAAGCCATGCGACGTCGACTCACCAAGCGGGTCTGTAAGTTATCGTGTCGATTTGTGTTGTCTTAGTTCGAAAAATGGAATTACTATGATATTGTCATCATCTCTGGATGATAAATGGCCAGATATCCCATTACCCGAAGCTGAAGGACGCTTGCAATTACTCAAAATAAATCTCCAAAAGGTTGATGTTGCATCCGACGTCAATTTTGACAAGCTTGTTGCAGCAACTGAGGTCAGGGCTGATTGCAGAGCTCTTTTCAAAGCTGACCTTGCTCGCTACATTTGACAGGGTTACAGTGGCGATGACATCTGTGGTCTTTGTGACACCGCCAAGATGATGCCAGTAAAGCGTTTATATACACCGGAGGTGCTGAAAGAGCTACAACGGAAGCAACAGGAGGGTGCGTCTAGTGAGGAGCTACAAGCTCACGAAAAAAACGCACTCGAGGTGACATGGAAGGACTTCAAGACAGCACTTGAAAATGTATCCAAATCTGTTGGTCAGGATCAGCTAGATCGCTTTGTTAAATGGGAAGAAGAATTTGGATCCAAGTAATATGCATCTCTTAAGTCGATTTTAGAATTGAAGTACATCAACTGCACAAATTTGTTAGCAGCATTTGACCTAAATGGGAGTGCAAAGCTATAGCTTTCGTTTCAATAGACCGGTCAAAAAGTCAAACGAATTTCCGTCCGGGTAAAGTTCAAGACTAGAACCGTCATCACCCTTTGCTAAAAGACACCCTGTGCTCGTTAGTCCCTTGACCACAGCAGGCACCTTTCTACCGCCTGCATCGTCACTACTCGCAACCTGTACGACTTGATCCGTGTGCAGCCATCGCGCTAGATACTCTTCCATGAAGGGTTCAAAGCCTTGCTCGAGAAACAACTTCTCCATGGGCTCATACACATTACAAAACGCAGCTAAAAAATGCTCCCTATCAGCAAAAGAATTACTGGTTAGTAAGTGCAGTCGACCGGTGCTGAAAAAAACAAAGACCAACTTTGTTAAAGTACAAGGGTGTTCTTCTATGCCTAAAATGTCTTGTAGACATGTTGTCGGCGATCGATTAGAAATGTTAATGCCAATGCCTGTATCCAAATGTCAACACGTATTTTCGTACAAAATTCCGAAGTTACGTACCGGTCGTGACACTAAATTTGCCATTACAATATTCAGATTGACATAGGATTCCGCCAATTTTGACCTGATTAGCGTAGATATCATTGGGCCACTTAATCTTCACAAGGTTGGTACAACCAGGAGCTGCGGTATGCACCCTTTCCAAGGCTTTAATAATAGCGAGCGACACAAGGTACTGCACGAATGGCAGAGTTGTGCCGTCTGTGAACACGCTTTGGAAGGAAAACGTCAGGCAACCCTGAGGTGAAGACCATGAGTTGGTACCGCGCCCTCTACCGCTAGACTGCAGCTCTGTGTAGCAAATTACACCTGAGGGTGCCGAAGGCTTAATAGCCTCGCGCAGTAGCATTTGGGTCGAGCCTGTTGAGGGGCCATAGAGCACGACACCGCCAAGCTCTTGCGTTTTCAGTAAGGGAAAAAAAATACTTTGGACCGGGTTTGAAGCCCCGGTGCTGACTGCAACGGAAGCGGGAAAGGAGGGCTTCGAGCTTTCAAGCCACGATTGTATCGCTTGAAAGTGGCGCTCTGAGCGCACGTAGTAGCGGAGTTCTTCTGTCATTTTTTGCTTACAGAGCATTGAAGATTTTACTACATCTCTAATTTTTGAGTATGACAAAAAAGCGAAAAACTGAGGATAACAGATAAAACACAGTGAACAGTGAACAATGAACACAATAACCCGGAGATCTATTCCTTCAAAATCAATAAGAATCGCTCACTCGAAGCGCATGAATGATGTTAAGGCCGGATCGAGATACTTGATGTCCAGACTATAACTTGGACCCATTGTAGTGCTCACGTGAGCAGCCTAATGTATCATAACAACAGTGAGCATGGCGCTTAAACAACACAAGTTGCTCCACATACCTTGATATACTTGCCCTTCGCACCCTCTGGTTTGGCATCACTTAGTGCGACCATGAATGCGCGCACATTCTCCAGCAAAGCTTCCTCCGAAAAGCTCAATTTGCCCACGCCAGCATGTATGATGCCGTTCTTTTCGGCACGAAAAGCTACCTGACCACCACGCGCAGCTACAATGGCATCTCCAATCTCCTGCGTAACCGTCCCAAGCTTCGGATTGGGCATCAAACCACGAGGACCAAGAATGCGGGCGATTCGACCCACAAGCGGCATAATATCAGGGGTAGCAATGCAGCGGTCGAATTCCATCTTTCCGCTCTGAATCTGCTCTACAAGATCTTCTGCACCCACGATAGTAGCTCCGGCAGCCTTGGCCTCCTCTGCTTTAGGACCACGGGCGAACACAGCAATACGCACTTGCTTGCCCGTGCCATTTGGTAAGCTCACAATACCCCGCACACTTTGGTTAGGCTTGCGCGGGTCCACGCCTAATTGAACAGCAAGGTCGACGGTCTGCAGGCGAAGATATCAAATTAATGAGGCTCTACACGCATCAAAACACTATGCAATTTAAATGCATGGCGGTCACTATTTGATCAACTTTCACCTCATCAAAATTACGCGCTTTTTGTGCCTTGCACTTTCGAATAGCCGTTAAGATGCTTGTGGGAGGCTATGTGGACCGCAAGATATCACAATCAATCAACATGTGCAGCACAAAAGAGTTAGCTTTTCATAACGCACCTCCGGCAGATTAGAACGGCGAGGAACAAGGTCTAGCGCCGTCGGCGATCGTGACGGCTTGACGCTTAGCTCACTAGCTTCCGAAAAATAGCGCGCCCAGACGGATGTGGAGCGCAACAAGCAAGCCTGGACGTTGCTCGACACCAAAATCACGCGCATGATCACTTAACTGGTGAACACAAACCATTCGTAAATTTTGTGTTACATTGATGTAAGTAGCATTTACTCTCCATGTTTAGTTTACTATCTGAATTATAACAGCAATTAGGTTTTCTCATTTTACTACATTTTTTTCAGCAAAAGTGAAGGGAGAATTATATGATCAACACATACTCTCATGGAGTATGCAAGCGATGCAAATAATCACGTCGTACTTCACCTTACGGTTATCTATCAACCTCGAAGTGATCAAAACCTTCAGGTGCGCCAATTTGTAATCTGCTTCTTTCAACGCGCCAATATACGCAATTCGTCTCGCTTCCTTAGTTGAGGGAGATTTTTTCGAAGCAAGCTAGAAAATACACTTTTAGTTTTGTACTATTGACCGTGATCTAAGTCAGAGCTACATATTTACGAAAAACTGGCGTCACATCGACTTGAATATATCCTTACAATTTGTGATTTGGTGCGAACTCCAAAATTCCGCCATTTTATCACTCAGCGCCTGAAAAGCCCATATGGCTGCCAAGTAATCCGCTGAATGCCAAAATCCAGCCAGTGTGGCGTGAACTAAACTTGCGATTTGGTACCGATTACGTATCACCAACCGATTACGTATCACCAATCGATTACGTATCACCAAATCCACGTTTGATTATTTTGACCATCCACTGTAAATCCGCAACTTGATGTTCTACTTGTCAGACAGGATAGAAGGGACAATTTGTTGCCAATGTCTTACCGACTTCAATTATACCTATTCAGTCAAAAATACAGTTCGATGGATATGCAATATGGGCATTCGAAAAAAATCTTTATCACTTGCTATTTTAAGCGCTGTATAAGTGAATTGTGTAAAATCTGATGCGTGCTTGGAACTTCAAACGCACAAAATCTACCATTTTAAATATAACGATACACAAACGCTATTGAGAATCTGAACAATCTGGATGACGTAGTTACTAACACATGAAATCTGTACACAAAATTCACTGATATAAGAGACCCCAAAATGGGCTTTGGACCGTGACTCTCATCGTAAACGCTTTGCTACGTAATCAATAATGTAGGGCGAAGAGAATTTATCGCTCATCCCGCTTTGCTGTTCGAACAAGCCTTGCTGATAGTCGCAAAATCGTAGAGCAATATCTTGCTGTCTGAATTGCTTCACTCGCACAGTTTTGTGAATCCAAACAGGTACAAATATACAAAAATTTCCCATAGGAAGCACATTGAATCCAGGACTGTAAGCAAAGACTTTGTTCCAACACCATTACATGTTGAATTGACTTTGACCACGGGGGGCTTGGACGCTCACTGTTTCACTTGCCGCATCACTTCCGCGGTTTTGTGAATATTTTAGAAAAACCCTAAGTACAGGTACTACTAGTGAGATGATGGAACTCCGTGAAGAATCATCTGTCGAGTAATGCAGAATTTTTTATATAGTTCATCGTGCCAGCGCCTTCGCCCAACATCCATTTCTCAAGAAGGAGACGTTCACTTTTCTTAGCTGCCACGCTGCAGGATTCCTTACCCATTTCCATCGGTGGGAATCGCGTCGACACCCCACCGTGAAGCTGACAGCGATGTCCGACTCATAGGATAAAATTTGATGCTTTGATGGTGGGCACGCCACTCAATGTATGAATCATCCAAAATGACTCTAAGGCCCTTTCAATCACAGGTGCGGTTTTCAAAATGGGCTAAGCCTGAGAATTGCGTTATCAACCAACAAACCCTGGTTAATGCGAAACACGATAGTTTTCTTCTGTCTCGACGGAGGTTCAGCTAAATCAAGGTTATCCTTATCCGTCATAACAAGCATTATTACAGAAGACGGCGGCTCACAGCCGCCATTGCTTTTCGAGTTGGCTAGAAGATATAAAGCGATGTCGTTGATACTTATATCGGCTAAATCTATATTCTGGCCAGAGCTGCGGCAGCCTTGTTGACTAAAAATGTCACTTTAAGGCTCAAATTGATCATGAACACCATGACGAGCGTCCCCGTGAAAAAGCAACTCGAAAATAGTGTCAGAACTTGACACACTCAATAGTCCACATATGCTTTTAACGATATTGTGTCATACATATTTGCATGGCGCCACCGAAACAGTTGACTCCACATATACCATTTCGTTGATTTCAGCGATATCTTACCGTGGCTAAAAGTATCCTACAAAGCGTCGTTACCTTAAGGGCCAGGATCCATTGACCTCTACATATACAAAAGGTATATGTAATGAGCTCTTTACCAATGGCCGTACGGTGGTCTACCGAACATGACATTTCTCCACGTGTGGTCTGTCGATCAGCTTTTGTGATGGTTCATTGTTGGCACATCTCATCCGAGTGATAACGAAACACACAGAATGTAGATAGTTAGTACCCGCGTAGGCGTAGTATCTATCGATACCACGACGTTGCTCAGTAGCCAAGTTCTTTTCTCTTTATACCCCAGAGAATTCTTCTTCTCTGATACGTTCATTAGTCTTTTCTCTCCTATAGCCCAGCCAGTCCTGTCGGATCGAGAGTTGTGTTTTGGAGTAGATATTATTTTACCGCTTTGGATTTTACGGGGCTGAGACGACAATTGTACCGAGACGTCAATTAATTTGGCGATTGTTTCTTGTCGTCGTCAGGGGCGAGCCCAATATCTTGTGACGTAGAGGAAATACCCAAACTCCGAGAACTCATGGGAGTTTGAGGTGCCGCTTCGGCACGACTGCCTCGACGTCGTGGACGCTTGTGATTAGAAGAATCATGACGCTCCGCATCGTCGTACGCCTGTTCTCGATAGTAGCTCAAAAAGCGGAAGTGCCATGAGCTGAGATCAAGCTATGGACCTAAGCTGCTGTGGTCGTAGACTCACCCGTGTAAGAAACCACAGAGCTCACGGGAGCGTAATGGATTATTTCATGTGTCGCATGGTGACAATACGCGTCGGCGTTGCGCCTCGAGTCTGACAAACTCAAATTAAAGATGGCGTTCTACACACACGTTCACTTTATTGAGGCTCCGCTAAAAGTTGGGCAGCGAGAAATGTTTCCGGTGCCGCTGCACCCATCGCTCAATGAGCTCCTCATCATCTGTAGCGGCTTCACCAGGGCGAGCACCACAGGAATAGTCCGCATTGCGGGTGCAGGAGCGCTTCCTCTTTGAGCTCGAAG